TTGTGGGAAGGAACACCCCAGGTGGGAGGAGATGCCCCTCACGGAGGGAATGGACAAGGATGGCCCATCAGCAAGGGAGCAGGATGAACAGGCCAGGTCCACCTCAGAAACAAGTGAGGGCTCAGGAGACTCTAGTGCTGAGACGTGGGGCCAGGAGAGGGGTGCTAGGGGGTTGGCCTGGGCCCAAGTGTGTGAGGCACGAGCACAGGCTGCTCATCTGTCCCTGCCTTCACAAGACTTTCCTGAAAGGTAATTCACTTAGGCAGATGCCTGGAACTCCAGCTGTGGAAGAAAGTGGGGTCCCATTCCCATTTTAGCTCATGATACATGGAGGAATTAGGCAGTTTTGCATCCGAGCTGTGCTGCCCCCTGGGAGGGGCTGAGGGGATGCAGACTGGGTCACTGGAGTTGTATAAATACAGACAGATAACATAGCAAAGCTGCAAAGAGCCAGGCTCTGAGTGGACTCACCTGGGTTCCAATCCTCACCTGTACTGGCTGTGTAGCTTTGGATAATTTATTTAACTTCTCTGATCCTGTTCCCCCCTTTGTAAAATGGATAAAAACATTCATCCCAGAGTAGTGGCGTGAATCTAATATGAATACATGTTCTATGCTCAACATAGGCCCTGGTGAGAGAATAAGACCCCAGCCAATGGGAGCAATTCACGCGTTCAACTTGCTCACCAAGCTGTTTGTTCTCCCCCAGGCCTAGAGATGGGTTCAGCATCTCACAGCCATCCACAGGGATGGCTGCTGAGCCCTTCTCAAAAACCCAAAGCTGCAAGCACAGTAAAGGGAGACCTCTTGCATGTGTGGAATTATAATAGTGCAGAATAGTAAACCTGTTTTGGGCTCACACTGTGGGCCTGAGCTGCTGGCAGATTCAGCCTTCCTGCAGCTGAACCACAAGCCCTCATCTCTGAGTAGAAGCCACTGCTTTCCTAGGCCTGTCCCTTCACTGCTGGCAGGTGGCTGTTTTCAGGGCATTTTTAAAAAATGAAATAATCTTTTAATAATTCCATGAGCGAAAAGCTGTGCTGAGTGTGACCAGAGCCCGCAGCTCTGGGTGGAGATAAACAGTGGTAGGTTCTGCCCCCGCCCCTCAAGCCACACAATTCAACAGGCCTCTGCTAGGTGATGTCCACACCAGGGACGAGGGTGGGTGGGGAGGGTCACTAGGAGGAGTCCTCTGACCTCCACTGCAGAAAGTCTACTGCGGGGCTGCTGACAAAGTGGATGAGGTGGCCAGGCCTGCAGTCCTGGGCCTGTGCTCCCCGCATGATTAGTCTGTTTTCACGCTGCTCATAAAGACATACCCAAGACTGGGAAGAAAAAGAGGCTTAATTGGACTTACAGTTCCACATGGCTGGGGAGGCCTCAGAATCATGGCGGGAGGTGAAAGGCACTTCCCACATGGTGGTGGCAAGAGAAAATAGGAAGATGCAAAAGCAGAAACCCCTGATGAAACCGTCAGATCCTGTGAGACTCATTCACTACCACGAGAGCAGTGTGGGGGAAACCGCCCCCATGATTCAAATTATGTCCCACCAGGTCCCTCCCACAATACATGGAAATTATGGGAGTACAATTTAGGATAAGATTTGGGTGGGGACACAGAGCCAAGCCATATCATTCCTCCCCCGGCCCCTCCAAATCTCATGTCCTCACATTTTAAAACCAATCATGCCTTCCCAACAGTACCCCAAAGTCTGAATTCATTTCAGCATTAACCCAAAAGTGCACAGTCCAAAGTCTCACCTGAGACAAGGCAAGTCCCTTCCACTTATTAGCCTGTAAAATCAAAAGCAAGCTAGTCACTTCCTAGATACAATGGGGGTACAGGTATTGGGTAAATACAGCCATTCCAAATGGGAGAAACCGGCCAAAACAAAGGGGTTACAGGGCCCATGCAAGTCCGAAATCCAGCGGGACAGTCAAATTTTAAAGCTCTAAAATGATCTCCTTTGACTCCAGGTCTCACATCCAGTCACACTGATGTAACAGGTGGGTTCCCATAGCCTTGGGCAGCTCCGTGTCCCTGTGGTTTTGCAGGGTACAGCCTCCCTCCCAGCTGCTTTCACGGGCTGGCATTGAGGGTCTGTAGCTTTTCCAGGAGAACAGTGGAAGCTGTCAGTGGATCCACCGTTCTGGGGTCTGGAGGACTTTGGGTCTTCTCACAGCTCCACTAGGCAGTGCCCCAGTAGGAACTCTGTGTGGGGGCTCCAACCCCACAATTCCCTTCAGCACTGCCCTAGCAGAGGTTCTCCATGAGCATCCAGCCCCTGCAGCAGACTTCTGACTGGACATTCAGGCATTTCCACACATCTGAAATCTAGGCAGAGGTTCCCAAACCCCAAGTCTTGACTTCTTTGCACCCTCAGGCTCAACACCACATGGAAGCTGCCAAGGCTTGGGGCTTGCACCCTCTGAAGCCACGGCCCAAGCTCTCCATTGGCGCCTTTCAGCCATGGCTGGGGCAGCTGGGACGCAGGGCACCAAGTCCCTAGGCTGCACACAGCTCAGGGACCCTGGGCCCGGCCAACACCACCATTTTCCTTAGGCCTCTGGGCCTACGATGGGAGGGGCTGCCATGAAGGTCTCTGACATGCCCTGGAGACATTTTCCCAATGTCTTGGGGATTAACATTTGGCTCCTCCTTGCTTTTGCAAATTTCTGCAGCCGGCAAGAATTTTTCCTCAGAAATTGGGTTTTTCTTTTCTATAACATTGTCAAGCTGCAAATTTTCCAAACTTTAATGCTGTGCTTCCCTTATAAAACTGAATGCCTGGCCAGGCGCGGTGGCTCACGCCTGTAATCCCAGCACTTTGGGAGGCTGAGGTGGGTGGGTCACCTGAGGTCAGGAGTTCAAGACCAGCCTGGCCAACATGGTGAAACCCCGTCTCTACTAAAAATACAAAAATTAGCCGGGCGTGGTGGTAGGCACCTGTAATCCCAGCTTCTCGGGAGGCTAAGGCAGGAGAATCGCTTGAACCCGGGAGGCGGAGGTTGTAGTGAACGAAGATCGCGCCACTGCACTCCAGCCTGGGGGACAAGAGCGAGACTTCGTCCAAAGAAAAAAAAAAATTAATGCCTTTAATGGCACCCAAGTCACCTCTTGAATGCTTTGCTGCTTAGAAATTTCTTCCACCAGATTCCCTAAATCATCCCTCTCAAGTTCAAAGTTCCACAAATCTCTAGCGCAGGGGCAGAATGCAAACAGTCTCTTTCCTTTGTTCCAGTTTCCAACAAGTTCCCCACCTCCATCGGAGACCACCTCAGCCTGGACCTTATTGTGTACATCATTAACGGCTTTGGTCAAAGCCATTCAACAAGTCTCTAGGAAGTTCCAAACTTCCCCACATTTTCCTGTCTTCTTCTGAGCCCTCCAAACTGTTCCAATCCCTGCCTGTTACCCAGTTCCAATGTCGCTTCCACAGTTTCAGGTATCTTTTCAGGTATCTTTCAACACCCCACTATGTTGGTACCAATTTACTGTATTAGTCCATTTTCACACGGCTGATAAAGACACACCCAAGACTGGGAAGAAAAAGAGGTTTAATTGGACTTACAGTTCCACATGGCTGGGGAGGCCTCAGAATCACGGTGGGAGGTGAAAGACACTTCTTACATGGCGACCGCAAGAGAAAATAAGGAAGATGTGAAAGTGGAAACCCCTGATAAAACCATCAGATCTCCTGAGGCTCATTCACTACCATGAGAACAGTGTGGGGGAACCACCCCCATGATTCAAATTATCTCCCACCAGGTCCCTCCCACAACATGCGGGAATTATGAGAGTACAATTCAAGATGAGATCTGGGTGAGGACACAGCCAAACTATATCACTGCACCTGCCCCATCTCCACCAGACAGACTGGACACAGGGCCAAACATGCCCACACCAGCATTCATGGGCAGGATCAGAGGCTCAGGTAGCTGAGGAGAGGGTCTGGGATGCATGAGGGCATTTAGGAAGCAGCCCATCCCTGAGTGGTGTCCTTCCTACGACCCATGGGGCCACATCCCTGGGGAACTGCTACCAGCTCGCGGTGCAGGACAGGTGAGTGTTGGCTCACAGGTAAACCCTCCTGGGGGACAGACCTCCACGCACACAGGGACCTGGGGCTGCTCAACTCCAGAGTAGGGAAGTGGGGCCTCCTCAATGTGAGACCCTCAAGGGACAGACCTCCATGCATGCAGGGACCCCAGCTGCCCATATCCTGAGGAGTGGAGTGGGGCTTAGTCAACATACCATTTATCTCAATTGCATCTCTCTGATGTCTGCTGCTCCTGTCCATGCAGACACACAGTGTCACCTTCCAGGCAAACTATCCCACCTCTGACAAAGGAGAACATTCATGCAAAGTTCGTAAACAAAGCAAAGCCACCTGAGGAGGTACAGGACTTAACATTCAGCACCAATCACTCATGCACCACCGCACAGCCCGGTGACTAGAACAGGCGGGTCTCACACAGGGCCCAGGAGGCCTGCCCCCACAGCTGGGCCTGCACTCCCTCTCATCCCTGCACCAGTACAGGTGCTGATGGGCCCAAGGTGACTGCAGGCCACGGGGGTCAGTGCCACTTCCTCCCCCTCATGAGGGACCACTTTGAAGGCAGAGAAGTTTATTTTGTCCCAAAGAAACACCCCGTATTATTGCAGACACCAGCAAGGCATGAGGTCAGGACTGTGGGTGGAAAGCCAGTCATGGAGGTCCCTGAGCCATGGGACACAGGTGCTAACATTGCTTTTGTTTCCAAATCCTCTGGAACAGTTGACCACCTAAAAATGACAGCTGTAACAGCCCCAAACTCCTCTTTCACGCCTTAACCAGGAACCTCAGGGGCCTCACACCCAAGCTCAGGTCCCCAGAAAGAGGCTTCTTGAGGGCTCACGCATAGGCATACGGTCCATCCTGTCTCAGAAGCCAAGGCAAAAAGAGAGATCTGACACCACAGAACTGACTGATTTATAATCTAGCTTTTGACAAGCGTACTTGTCAAAAGTACGCTTGTACTGATGTGATAAGACAGAAAATAAATGCACCCACTCAGCAGGCAGGCTTTTAGGAGGAGCAGAGAAATTCACACAGTGCTCTGACGGCCCTCGAGACACAAAGGCTTCACGAACACCCTCCTGTGAGTGCAGAAGGGATGAGCTGCCAGCCAGGCAAGCCAGGCACACCTCCCAGGCTGAAGGTGGAGTGGAAGCTCTTGGCCCTGCGGGTGTCCACAGCTCACCACGAGTGAAGCTGCTGTGAGGTCTTCATTCCACACGTGAAGCTCAGGCACGTTTTCCAAGAAAGATTGTCCAACTTTCATTGTACACAAAGAGCCCCGGCACAGAGATGTCCTGGGACCTCTGGCACAGTGCCAGGCCTGTTCTCATCGCAGGTCCCAGCTTCTCCCACAACATCCTGCCCACCAGAGGGGCCCCAGAGATTGGTCAGCTGGTGTGAACTCAAGAAAAGCCAGGAAATGCATAAGAGCAGCCAATCAAACTACAGAATTAGAAGAAGGGCTGTGAAAGCCCTTCACACATCAGCAGTAGGGACCTTAAATTCTGTAAGATAAAGGATCTTTTCTGATTTTGATTAATCAACAAATAGCTAATAAGTTGTGGTTCAAGGCCTCCAGGACCTACAATTGCCTCACCCCAAACCCACACAGGGGTCACAGTCTCTGTGTACACCAGAACCAGGAACAACCCCAATGCTGAGTCATAGGTAAGATCAATGACCGAGATCACCCCCATAGGGCACACTTGCATCACTGAAAGCCAGTATTAGTGGGGCACGGTGGTGTGCACCTGTAGTCCCAGCTACTCAGGAGGCTGAGACAGGAGGATCACTGAAGCCCAGGTGGTCGAGGCTGCCGTGAGCCACGATTGCTTCACTGCACTCCAGCTGGGGCAACAGAACAAGACCCATCCCATAAATAAAGCCATCATCCTAAGTGGCTAAAGATCATTAGCATGAGTGTCCGTGTGAGTAGTCAAAACAGCAAGCATGTTATGTGCTCAAGAGAAGCATGTGCATGTGGCCACTAGAGGACATGGGTTAGAACATCTGCTGGGAACAGCCCCCACCTCATCAGCAGGACACACCTAAGCTCATTCACACAATGGAATACTAAATCTCCATCAGAAATAAGGTTTACTGATACATAAACACAGATGGATCGTGCAGATATGACACTGAACTAGAGAAGACAGACAGTGCTCAACTCAATGATAGAAAACTGGTCTGGTGATAGAGACCTAATAGTGGTTACCTCGGGGGTAGGTACTCACTAGAAGAGGGCGTGAAGGAACCTTCCTGGATGCTGGAATGTTCCGCATCTTGATCACCAAGCCGTACACTTAAGATGAGAGTACTTCACTGTAATACGCTCACCGAACCCAGCAGACACTGTCGTTGGGCTAAGGGGGTCTGCAACAGCTTCCTGAACAGGCAGTGATTTGAGCCCTGAGGCAGGGAGGCAAGGTTGAACTTCCACTGGCCAAAGTAGGACAGGATCAGTTTGCTGGGAGGTCACAGAATGGGGGGGAGGGGCAGGGGGAGGTGGGAGGTGACAGACAAACTAGTAGTTTCACATGGGCCATATGGGAGGGCCTCAGTGCCCAGGCTGAAAGCATCCTGCACTATGGTGGTTTTCAAACTTTTTAAGCAGCGAAAGCCTTCTTTCCCCCTCAAGTAAAATGCTACACATGTACCTCAAAACAAAGCAGATCTGCTTTGGCTGGGGCTGGGGAGTGGAGCTGTACCCTCTTAGACTCCTCTGCCGCTGTCTATGAAGCACGGGATGGGTGACTGATGTGAAGGGAGAATAAGGGAGAGGTTGGGCAGGGGCCAGGGTGCAGGAGAGCACGTCCTCAGACCCCAGGAACATGGGAGCAGCAGGGAGAAGAGGGGGTCAAAGGTACCTGATGACACAGCTGTACCAGAAGCGCCCTGGTCCAGCCACCCCATTCCCAGCAGGCTGGTCCTTGGAGCACCTGAGTGTGCCCAGGCAGCTCTGCAAGCGGAAGTGTGTAGGGCTGATGGTCTACAACAGGGGTACCCGGGGCCACACTGGAAGCAGAAGAATCATCTTGGGCCACACATAAAATGCACCAATGACAGGTGATGAGCTTAAAAAAAAAACTCATAAAGTTTTAGGAAAGTTTATGAATTTGTGTTGGGCCACATTATTCAAAGCCATCCTGGTCCACATGTGGCCCACAGGCCATGGATTGGACAAGTTTGGTCTACAAGGAAAGGGCACAAGCACCCCAGGAGCTGAGGATCAACAAGCAGGTTCCTGGTCTATCTCTGAGCACTGAGAAACTCAGGAGGTGCCAACAGCAACAGAAATAGCTATGGGGGCTCTTAATTTCCAAAGTACCTCACCTTCTCCCCCCACCCACAGCACTAGCGCCACTTACCTTCACAGCGATGGAGAGGGCAAGGCCACCAACGCCTCTCAGGGATGCCCCGGCAATAAGCCAACTGGCAAATCAATGGATCAATATATTTTAACTGCTAAAGAAAAGCTTATCTGGCTCACAGTTCCGCAGACTGTACAAGAAGCGTGGTGCCAGTGTCCGCTTCTGGGGAGGGCTTCCGGATGCTTCTTTTTTTTTTTTTTTGAGACAGAGTCTCACTCTGTCCCCAGGCTGGAGTGCAGCGGCGCGATCTCAGCTCACTGCAAGCTCCGCCTCCCAGGTTTAGGCCATTCTCCTGCCTCAGCCTCCTGAGTAGCTGGGGCTACAGGCGCCGCCACCTCGTCCAGCTAATTTTTTGTATTTTTCAGTAGAGACGGGGTTTCACCGTGTTAGCCAGGATGGTCTCGATCTCCTGACCTCGTGATCCGCCCGTCTCGGCCTCCCAAAGTGCTGGGATTACAGGCTTGAGCCACCGCGCCCGGCCTGGCTGCTTCTACTCACAGTGGAAGGTGGAAGAAGAGCCGGCCTGTGCAGAGATCATGTGGCAAGAGAGGAGGCAACGGGGGAGGAGCCAAGCTCTTGTTAACAACCAGCTCTTGCTAGAACTCACAGAGCAAGAACTCACTCACTACCACGAGGATGGCACCAAGCCATTCATGAGGGATCCACCACCATGACCCAGACATTTCCATTTAGGCTGTACCTCCAACATCGGGGACCAAATTTCAACATGAGGTCTGGATGGTCAAATATCCAAGCTATAACATTCTCCCTGTCCCCTCAAATCTCATGTCCTTATTACACTGCAAAATTTAATCATCCCTTCTCAATAGTCCCCAAAAGTCCTAACTTGCTCCAGCACCAACTCAAAAGTACAAGTAGTTGTCCCTTTCCTCAAAAAGTAGTTATTTTCTAAATTTGCTTAACAGACCATTTCTGAACCAGTAGCTGCCAGGAAAACCCACTTGTTTTTCATCTGAATTGAACCCAAGGAACACTGATTGTGTCCGTACCACTAACAAAGCACTGCTCTTCCCACCTCCAATGCTCCCCTCTTCCTTACACAGCACGCCACTGAGAAATGTGGCTAGGGTTCTGAACTGGCCTCCAAAAACATGTGGGGAGGATTAAAGAACCCCAAATAAGGACAAGTGGGGACTGGACCCCACCTGCTTCTGGGAGCTACGGAGACCTAGAATCTCAAACCACCTCACACAGGCATCACTGTTGCCGATGCAGAGACTATCAGAGCTGGGTGCTGGGATGACTGGGCTGCACCGGAAACCTCTGATTTCAAGGAGATGTGAAGCTGTGGATTCGGTGATATTTGATTATCAAGACAAAGGACACTCCACCCAAATCTGCCCACTTACCTGACTGAAACTTCACTGGTGTTTTTAAGGCAGGGATGTTGTAAGTTTTACCCCAGCACAAGCCCTATGCCTGACACACAATAGTTGCTCAGTAAATGAGTAAACAAATGCATGGATGAGATCAGACTTTGAAAGAACAGCTACTGAATAGAGGACTTCCCTTGAGGCCATGCAGCAAGAACCTTCTACAGTGATGCAAGAAAAATAAGATTTCTTCCCACAAAACACAAGACTAACCCTCCCAGCTGTTTCTTGCAAGCTCCAGATTCAGGTAGCTGAGGGGGTCTCTCATCCTATGCATGGTGAGCTGGGAATGTGTGTACCCATGTTCTACTTTGGATTTCACAGCTTGTTGGATTCTGAGAGGGGCATGAGCCCCCTTCCAGCAGCCATGGACAACTGTGGTTCCCATTCTAGACTTTGGAGCTAGACTGTCTGGGTTCCGACCCCTCTTATGAGCTTTATGACCTTGGGCAGGTCAGTGAAGCGCCCTGTGAGTCAGTTTCCTCTTCATTTGTATAATGGGTGTGACAAAGAAACCCACGTTACAGGATGGTGATGGGTATTAGTGAACCATCTGCAATTGCAATGTATTTAGAACGGTCCCTGGCACATATGTACACATATATTGTAGGGGCATCAAGTAAATGTTATTACTACTTCGGAACACAACCTCTGCACAGCAGGCAACGTCTGGCCTGGGGGCCTCAGAGCAGGGCTGCAGGTGCGTGCTGGGAAGAGGCTGGGGGCTACACAGGACCATGTGCCTCCCATGGTTCCCCAGGGTCACGGTGCAGTAGAAATTTGCCCAGAGGAAGTGGATTTGACATGTAAGCAGCCAGGTGAACAAGTCTAACCACCTGGGAGGTTCTGCTGCTGTCATGCCAGGCTCCCTTCTTGCTGCTTCTAAAGGTCATGGAGACCCCTTTACAGGAAAGGATCAGGATGCCTCTCCTCTTTGTACTAGTTCTGGACATGATTCACAAACGCCAGAGCTTCTAAGGCCTTGAATGGCTGCATCTCCCATTCCCTGATATTGCTTCACTTCCCTAAAATTAGGGCCTTCTATCTGAAATGCCATGGGTCCTAGGAAAGGGCTCTACCCCCTGGCTAGCTGGGGTGCCCCCTGGAAGGCCATCAGAGAATTTTGCTTCTCACAGGCCACAGACCTACAAGAAATGGGCAGCCTCCCCGGGGGCAGTGACGCCATCAGTGCCCCCCAGGCTGACTCCGCACTTGGGTCCCTGGTAAGTCTCCACAAGATGTGACTTCCCAAATCAAGTCACCGAACCTGTTTAAGCACAGACATGCACAAATACAACAAAACTAAAGTCTTAAAAGGGCGTAGCTGACACACACAGGTGAGTCAAACCATGTCCAGGCAGTTCTCAACTGGCCCACAGGAGGCAAGTGTCAGCCACCCAATGGGGAGGCCTGGCCTCAGCTCCATCCCACCGGCTGTCGCACATCACACAGCTGGAAGGGCAAGTTCCTGCAGCACCATGGCAGCCAATGGCCTCAGCCAGCAATAAGATCTTGGGGACCAGAGGAGATATACTAACATAAAACACTGCCTGCCTGGCTGTCCCCAGCAGAACCTGGCCAGCCAGTGCATCGGCCAGCCCACCAACAGGCTCCTCATACCCTTGTCATCCTGGAGGGCCCAAGTTTAATGCCTGGGGGCGAGGTCACAGCACTCTCAGAGCCAGTCACCCTCAGCACCATCTGTACGGATTGGAAACACTGTGAACAAGAAGCTCCCATATTTATTAACTCCCAAGAAAACTAACAGAGAAAAAGGATTCAGGACAAAACCAGGCAGTTAAAAATAAATATACAAATAGCCAATAAATATGAAATTTTTAACTCACTAATAACTTAAGAGATACAAATTAAAACAATGGGATACCATTTCACTTATCTAATTGGGAAAGAATGAGAAAATGTCCAGTGCTAGGAGGAGGAAAGAAGAAAGGGATGGGGAGAAAGAGACAGATGAATGAATAGATATGAAACAGCATCTATAAATTGGTAAAATAAACTTTCCAGAAGAAAAGTAGAAATACGTACTCAAAGCCTTTAAAAGTACATACCTTTCCCAAGTAATGTCACTTCTGGGAATTTGTTCTAAAGATCAGTAAGAATTTTGCAGTGGTTTAATATAATCAATAACCTTTACATATTTTATATGTGTATATTCTATATATAATCTTTATTTAAAGACTTAAAGATACTATTTGCAGCACTGTTTACTATGGAAAAACTTGGGATTAACTTAAGATACTGGTTAGTCATGGTTTAGACAGGAGCAGGAATACAATGCAGTCATTTCTTTGTTTTCTAAAAATATTAATGACATGAAAAACATTTGCAGTACATGATAAGTTGGAGGCGGAAGCTGGCTACACCATGACATGCCTATTTGACCCAAATTCTGTAACACAAAATTGCGTGCATCATACATGCACACAAAAGACCAGAAGGCCAGAGGCAACATTTAACAGTGGCTCACCTTTGGACAGGAGAGCTACCAATGGTGTTTGTCCTCCTTTGTGCTTGGCTGTGGTTTCTAAATTTCCTATGATGACACGATGGCACTGTGTTTGCTTAGAATCCAAAAAAAGCCCCAACATCATTTAATAAGGAAGCACAAATGGGATGAAAACCGTCTCCCTCAGATAATCAACACGACAGACAATCTGTGCCGAACATAACCGTGGCACCAGCATCATGACAAGTGCCAATAAGCTGACCAGAAATACCAATAAGGGGTCGGACAGAGAAAGCTTGGTCTGGCACAGGCATCCAGAATGACTTTGTAGAAGAGGGAGCTGTCTCAGAAGGTCCTCAGGATAGGGCAGATTCTCAGAGAAAGCATTTCAGGTAGGGGAAGCCACAAACTAGGGATACACAGGCCAAAGAAAGCATGGGCCGAGGCCACGAGCAGTGGGCCATCTATGCTCGAGTCCGAAGGAACTCAGGGCTCTAGGCTGAGCACACTGCTGGGAGGGGATAACCTGTGTTTCTCTGGATTTTTCAAGTTTATGCAGACAACATGGGAATGGACGAAATACTAATATAGTTAAAGGCGTTGCTAAGTTCATAGTGGCACCATGGTGCTTGCTGTCTTCTCCTCATATGAAAATTCATCTCCGTTTGCTGCCCCCTGTAAAACCCTTCCAATCCCAGCACTGGCTTTTCTGCTACATTCTAAGGTGGCCAAGGACTCTTGCCTTCCCCCACCTGAAACACCCTAAACATCTGCATAGTTCCTCCCTCTCCACTGCAGCTCCTGTGGAAGGAGAGGCAAAAGTCAAAGCTAAGTGGGGAAAAAAGGTGATCCCACAAACAGAACTAGGCAATCGCAAGTACATACTGCTGCTGGTGTGGTGAGGAACAGATGAATCTCTAGAATTAAGGTAAAAATGTTTGGAGAAGTATAAGGGGCTGCAAAATGGGGAAGAGCCACCAAGTCAAAATCAAGATCATATGCCCCCTTGCACACACACACCAGGATCCTGTCCCTAAGCACTGGGAACTGACCATCTGTGGCAAATGGTTAATGGCAAAAATTCTGAGAGAACCTAAGGCAGTTTTCCAACCCAATATCTTAAAATGCCAAAGAATTCTGACCTGCAGTATTTAACTCAAAGTGCTCTTGTATTCAATGCATTTCATCTTGAGAAGTAAGCAGAAAAGGTATCATGCCCATTTTACAGATGACATAACTGATGCTTGGAAAAGGTAAATGACTTGCCCAAAAGCTCACAAATGCAGTAGGTGGCAGAACTGAGGCTGGACTTAGCCCCCCAGACACCATTTTCCCCACAAACCAAACCATGGTGTTATGGTGCTACATTTAGGCTGTCATAAGGCTTTGCTGTATTTTGACAACAGCATCTCCCTATAGAGATAGATGCCATAGTAACAAACATTAACCATAAAGTGGGTAAGTGGGAGGCTGTGCACAGAAGGAAGAGCCACAGGGACCCTCTGGACAAGCAGTAAGTTCAGCCCCATCATGGTGGGGAGGGCACAACAGCAAGTCCAGTAAGGCCCAGGTCAGTGTGGCCCTTCCAAGTTCAACCAAAACTCTAGCTCTGCCACTCACCTCCAGACAAGCATCTGCTGCATCTGAACTTGAATCCATGCTTGGGGTGTGAGGCAGCACCCCTTCTTTGCCAAGTGTAGCCAGCAGAGACAGGCAGGCTGACATCCCAGGGAAGGCAGAGGCAGCCTCTATAATGCCAGCAGCCCAGGACTGCAGGATGAGGCCTGGTGAGGGCCTGTCCTCCAGACCTACCCTGGGCCTTGTTGAGGCCTCTGATTCTCTGGAGCTGTGTGTGTGAGGAGGCAGCCACCCTCTGCAGAGGGCCAATGAGCACAGAACTGAATCTTTAACGTTCATGTTAACCAATCAGTCCTCCCTGGTTAAACAGCTGCTGTGAAGGGCAGTAGGAAGGATCCTAGGATGAAAAGGCGAAACTGTTCTGCACCTTGATTGAGTTGGTGGTCACACAACCGCACAGACCTAGGCATACACGAATGAGTGTGTAACGCTGCTGACACCCGATAAGGTCTAGGATAGGACAGTGTGCTAGTCACACGAGATGTCACCATCAGGGAGGCTGAGCAAAGGCTGAGAGGCTGAGAATATAGACCTCTCTCACAGTTACTTGTGAATGTACAATAACCTCAAAATAAAAAGTTAAATAAGATAACATACCACACGTGCTTATTGGCTACTGTACTAGATAGTGCAGCTCCAGACAGCCGTGTTCCCACTGAGCGCAAGAAACCTCCCACCCATGCTTGTGGGCTCTTCCCTTCACCTAACCCACAGCTGGCACACTTGATTTGGGGGAGTTGGGGGCACTCCTGTGCTCCAGAGAAGATGGGTGTGGGGCCGAGGTCATGGGGCAAGGGTAAGGACAGGATCTTATGATAAATGAGGGATTCGTTAAAAGACCGTGTACCCCTAAGTAGAGAAGGATCCTGCAAATCACTGTAGCAGGCTGGAGAGGCGGCCACGCTGTTGCTGGGACAACCCCCTCAATCCTCTGCAGACACCCTGGAAATCCTACACCAAACGTCAGAGCAGCACAGGGAGAGAAGGCTGTTAGACTTGCTTCCCCAGAGACCGGGGAGGGAACACCCACCCTGCGCCCAAGATAGGCACAGAGTTGGGGGTGCGGGCTCCCACTCCGCCGTTAGGAGCCTTTCCTACAACTCTGAAAACCGGGGTGCGAAGAAAGGGCGAAAGGGCCGCTCAACTCCCAGAGAGTAGCCAGCGAAAGACTCGAGGGACCCCCTCCCGCAGGACCCCGAACCACTGCAGCTCCTCCTCAGTCCGCGGGGTCCACCAAGGAGACCCTCACAAACAGCATCTGTGGCGAAGGAACCGCCCCCGCAAAGGGCAGA